GTGAGCAGCTGGAAAGTTGACAGAGCAAGATGTAAGAGCCTTCCTGTCCAAAGACAACATTTTATTTCCTCTTTGTAATCAATCATGAGGAGTCAGGCCAGATAGAGACAAGGAGAGCACAGTTACATCTTGTATGGTTTTTTTCAGTCTAGGCTTCCCTCTCAGTACTTTAACACTCACTGAGCTTTGGCCACTGGGGTTGCCTGGGCTCTGGGCCAGCAGCTACCTTTGTTGAGAAGGCCCCTCACCTCTCAGCAATCCTTCTCCTTGTCCCAACTTGTGTTTGTACTTCAGACCTCTATTTGGGTTTCTTATTCTCTCATAATTCTTCATACCTCCCATCCAGATTGGATCCTTTTTGTTCTCAAAATGCTTTGGGCTTCACCCACATTGAAGGATGACTCTTCTCTACTGTAATTATCCCTTTCCACACCATTCCCTTTTCTCCTCCACAAGCTGGTCAGCTCCCTGAAGACAAGTACCAAGCTTTGTCTCCCCAGCCCCAGTGCTCTGTGTATACATCCAATATAATTTGTTACTTGAACAAATTAATGTACCTTTACATAGAGCAGGGAACTAATATTGCATCAAAATTAAAGGTATAGTCTTTTGCCACTTTCTAGCTGTATTACTGTATTAAGTAAATTACTTAAACACTCTGAGGCACAATTCTATGCTCTGTAAAATGGGAATAATAGGTTTACCTGCTTCATAGGTACTATAGTCTGAATGTATTCTCTCCAAAATTCAGGAGTTGCCAGTGCGATAGTATTAGGAGCTGAGGTCTTTAAGAGGCAGTTAGGCCATGAGGACTCCTTCCCTGTGAATGGGATTGGGTGCCCTTATAAAAAGGCTTATGGAGGAAGTTTATCCTTCTCTTGCCTTTCTGCTTTCCACCATGTGAGGATGCAGCAAGAAGGCCCTCACCAGATGCCAGCACCTTGATCTTGGACTTCCCAGCTTCCAGAACTGTGAAAAATAAACTTCTGTTCTTTGCAAATTACCTAGTCTCAGGTATTTTGTCATAGAAGCATGAGACAGACAAAGACAATGGAGAAGCTTCAATAATTTAATTAGGTTTTCCACAATAAAATATGAAGCACTAAATTACCACATGCAGGATATACTCAAAGAATGTTATCTGTGATAATAGTAATGGTAACAGTTATTAATAGCTATGGCAGTTACTGTTATGATTATCATCTGCTCTGTGTTTTGTTCCTAAAGTCAGATATTTCTACTCGGTTAGGTAAGAACCCAAAGCAAAGAGCCAGCTACCTCTTCCATGTGTCATATCCCAAGAGTCACACCCAAGACCCCCGTGCCCTCTGGTCATCTGATTACACTTGTATCTTGGAGGTTCCTCTGTGGTTTTTCTCACACTTGCTTAAAAATAATAACCTTTGCCTTTGGGCTAACTATAATCTTCTGTATACTGGAGTTTCCATGCAGAGGTATGTCAAGGGCCTGCATTCCCACTATTAGATTTTGTTGTCTCTTTTCATTACATATTGTTCTCACTGGTTTTTATTTTAGCCTGTTTGCCAGGAAAAGAAAAAAGGTCAGTGGTGCCAAGAATAAAGATTCTGAGAGGTAGCTGGAGCACAGGGGCTTCCAAAGGTATAAAACAATGTGAGAATTCTTCTCTAGTATGGTCTAATTCACCTCCTGAAAAACAAGTTTAACAGGAGCTCACCTGGAGGGTCTGTGACATCTTACAAATCCCCATGGAAAAGCTGATCTTAAAGTAAAGATGCAGCTTTCCACAGGGTAATGTTGGCCATATGGGCAGACAGTGGTCAGACTAGAATGCAGTAGAAGCCTTCCCTTGTTGCCACATAGAACAACACTGCAGCCCTTTACCCCATCTTTCTGCCAAGATCACACCACCTCATCTCCTACCTTATAAAAGGTTTGTCTTACATTTTGAATACAAGATCATGTGTTATTCAGTGTGCATGTTTTTCAACATTGATCCCCTTTTCTATGACCCAATAAGGATTTATTGAAAATCTGTTATGTGCCAGACTTGTGTCTCTTATCTCATTTAATCCTAAAATACCATGAGATAGTTATCATTAGTCCCGTTTTACAAATGAGAAAACTGAGGCTAACAAAAATAAATAATTTGCCAAAACTATAGTCATTTCGTGGTGGAAAAGAGAAACGGTCCATTAATAATAGTCTCTAAGCTTTTAAAAAGTAAGCAAAAATCTTTTAATAACTTACTTTTTAGAACAAAGTATGTGGCTAGGTATGCAAATAGGCACTCCACATATAACAACTTCTTATAAATAACCATATATACATATATCATATGTACATAAAAATGTAGATATGTTCTTAGAAAAAAAATGTTAAAAATTAATGTTTAAGAAATGTACAAGAAACTCTTTTATTCAAGGAATAGGTAGCATTCACATGTACACTGCAGAATGTCATTCCTAAGGTTGGGGTCAGGGAACCTGCCTATCTGGCAGTAGGCAGGTTAGAATATGGATTTTGAATGAGAAGCTAGGTGTCAAGTCCTGGCTCCACCATTAACACGGGAAAGTTACTAAATCTGCCCTGCTTTGAGGTATCTTCATTTGTAAGATAAATGGTTATGTTAGGTCAGTGGTTTCCAAATATTGGCATGCGATAAATTTTTCATTAGTCTGTGGGAAAATGAGAAAAATAACAATGGACTTATTTATGAAATTAAATTTATTTATTTTATAAAACTGTTAAAATGGTTTACTTTTATAAACACTAGGCATTCTCTCCTGTCCCCTTTGAGCATCCTCACAAAGCAACATTCAAGTATGCTCTCTATAACAGAACCCTGATGTTAAAAGATTTGTGTATTTTTGTTGGTCCATAAATCCAAAGGTCTGGGAATCACTAGACTAAGTGATCATGAATGTCTTTTCTAGTTCCACAATTCCAACCACTTCCTAAGTCACAAATAGTATTTAACCAACTCTAGAGTAGAAGGAAAAATAAAAGTAAAACTTTTACTCCTTTTTCTTCTTTTTAAACTCAACATTTCCCCAAACGTATCTTGTGACACACAAACCCCTGTTAAGATATTATAGATCTTCTATGGAAAAGAAGATTCTTAGTCAAATGAGTGTGAGAAACAAAAAGTTGTACTTTCTTTACTGAGAACGTGCAAACTGCTAACACTTACTGTGATTTCCCCTCATAAAGACACCCCAAGTTATTGATAGGAATCAGCTACCTTTCCACCCTCACCCCAAACTCTACCCATTGTAGGACAAAGAGTGCCCCTCTGCCTGGAGCACAGTTTGAAACAGATGACTTCGGCTAAAAGATCCTCAACAGCTTTCCAATAAAGAAAAAACATAGTATTAAAAACAAGACTTGCCATTTCTTTTATAGTTATTATAATTTGATGGTTTTTCAAAATTACCAAAACTACAAATATTTTTAAAATAAACAACAAAAGTTTTGTGGCCATTTTTGACAAGTATGGTTTTTTTTCTTTACAATTAAAAATAAAGAAAAATTGTATCAAGAGATTTGTGTCTAGTGATTGCAACATGATAATTAAAGCACTGGGATTTTGCAGAAGTTTGCAGTAACAAAGTGTGGTTTTATCATCTCTACGCAATGAATAAAAAGTAAAATAAAAGCCATCTGTAGGTATTAAGCCTAAGAAACCCCCAGACTCTTCTCAAATGATATGTCACTGTTAAATATTCCTTGAGTAGATCCAATTAACTCTGAATGCTTGTGGCTCATAATTGATTTATTTAAATCCCAGTTTTATTGTGATCAAGGAGCAAAACTCTTGGTAGAAAAAGATCTAAGAGTGTTTGTTTTTTATTTTTCTTTAATTATTTGATCGGAGTTGAGAAAGTTTACTTAGTCTTTTTTATTGCTGTTCACATCATCATGTGAAATATCAACTAGCCAACCGCTTCAGCCTTCACATACTGGATTCAAGTTTCACTTTACCCACGGAGGAAAGAACAGTTTTCACTTGGGACAAGATGATCCTGGAGCACACTACCCAGAGAGAGGACCTAGGGATCATCTTTTGGATATTCTGACACTAACAACCTTTTTTTCTGACTTTAGGCACACCAGGTTCTTGACAAGCCTGCAGCTCTGCGTTACCTCTGATGTTTTCCATCATGACTGTATGGTAAATTCCAGCCTGTTTTTCATAATCCTGCTGACTACAGCAGTCTGCAACCATAAAAAGCCTTCACAGACCTAGAATTGGCTTATAGAAGTGCCTCTGCAGAGAAACAAAAGTACATGCAACATTTATGTTCAGGACAGGAGAGAGGCAACAGCCTCTTATTTTGGTTCTGATGGGCTCAAAGGGTTGTTTTTAGGGTCAAAATTTAGAAATTTTAATTTTCTTCTGATAACATTTGTAAACAAAATACCAACACTAAAATGAGACCAACTTAGCCAGGAAAAGGGGGAGTGTCATGTCCAACAGATCAAGCCCTCTTCCAAACTCCACTGGAGGGACGTGTCTACACATTAGCACATGACCGGACTTTGGTCTGACCTCCCTAGGCTCCCTCAGCCTCCTAGTCAGGTATGTTTGAGGTTCACACCAAAGATTCAAGGTTTCAGAATTAGCTTCTTTTGAATCTTAAGCTAGTACTGATGCAGTCTCTGGGGAGGAGGCTAAAAACACCAAACAACTCTTTTTAACAGACTGTAATATCCATTTACATAATATGATTCAATATACAAGCAGTATAGTTTGAAAGCATACAGTTCAAGCTCTGATGAACAACTGCTCAATGTAATAAGTTTGTTTTCATTTTTGCAATAAAGAGCTGTAATTGAAAAGTAAAGAACAGGAGGGGAAAGTAAAAGTTTAAGCGACCCCTTCACACATTTGAACGTTGACTCTCTGCAGAATAACTCTATTCCCCCCATATGGTAAAGCAGATCATATTCAAAATCAACATTTAAAAACGTCTATACCTTAATATTATTTTTAAAACATAAAACATCGGGCTACTTGCCTTTTGGCAATTTCTGTGCATTTCCCAGGGCTAGTGTAATACTTCCACAGAGAAGTAGGCACCCCAAGCTGGAGAGCATGTTGCATTTGCCACCTCGCACGGGGAATGATGCTGGTGGGTGCCTCGCAACCCTGGAGCTGCATTTAAGTGGACTGTCTCCCGGTGACAGAGGCGGGCGGCTGCACTTAGCTGTGCCGTGGGCTTACTCACAGGGGGTGGAGCCAAGATGACATCACACCCTTTCCCACACACACCAAAAAAAAAAAAAAAAAAAAAAAAGCACAACAGCAAAAACATATCAAAAACATATCATCCCATTTCTTTCTTTCTGCTAAGTTGTAACTGTGTCTCTTCCCTCTGAGATATAAAAATTGAAATTATGGCAGATCTGTATTTGTGAAAGAAGAAGTATTCAGGCAGTTTTGAAACGTTGGTAAACCATTTTAAAGAATCCAGAAAAAATATATTAAAAACTATCAAAATGCTAAAAATATAAAATAAAAAGAAGGAAACTGTTTTTAATTATCCAGTAAACCAACCCAATTCTTTTCAATGGGTGTAAACTCATAAAAATATATTTTGAGTCATTCTGTAGTTCCTGTATTACAAGAAACATTTAAGAGTAAGTCTATGGCTACAAAGCTATACGTTATGTACAATACGTATGTGTATACACATATATTCTACAGATGTAAATGTAGAGACATAGAGAGAGCACTATTACTATGTGAGCCTCAACTATGGACTGAGTTCTGTAATCGAGTCTACCTACTTTATTGTATTTTAATTTTCCCAGTGCCTCTGCAGGAGATATGGCATTGTCCCCATTTTGCCATTAAGAAAAACTGAGGAACAAAGGTTAAGTGTCCTGACAGTGCTAGTATATTCTACTGCTTAATAATGGATGCCACTTACTAATGAATTGTCCTCAGGCAAACTTCATCTCTATATAATCAATATTGATGACATTTAAACGCTTGCTCCATGTTAGGCACTAATCGAATCAGTTTACACATGCTAAGACATTTATTCCTCAGAACAGTCTATGAGGCAGGCATTGACATCATCCCCATTTTACAGATAGATAAACTGGGCACAGAGAGGTCAAGTGCAAGTCCAAGGTCACAGTGCTGGCATTTTTAAGCAGGCCATTTAACTACAGTGCTTCCGGTCTTAACTACTACATTTTAAATTCTAAAATAAACATGACAGTTCCAATTTCATAAATTTGCTAGCAGTTTTTCGAAAGTAGTTGCCATAGAGCCTGACATACAGGAAGCATTTACTAAATGGCAGTCACTGGAAACAATAATAATGAAAATGATAAACCCCCAATGAAGTAGAACTATAATTCTAACCTGGGCATATTTACCTCTGAAGTCCATATGTGTAACCTTTCGCCTTACATCACTTCGGTCAAAATATATAGACACATGGGTGGAATGGCTGGGTGACTAAAGTACTTTAAACTTTGTTGGTATATTTATACTGACTCTTTGAAAATCGCTTACCTCTTTGGGGTGCTGTAGCTGAACCAAAAACAGTAAGAGAAAAATTAAATAACACTGGTCAAATGAAATTCTAGTTAGAAAAATTACCAAAAAGAAAAAAAGAAAAAAAGAAAAATTGAAGAGACAGCCCCATCTTCCAAATAAAGTGTGAGAAGGCATCTTGTTAAAGTCATTTAGAGCTGGCTGGGTCTAAGCTCTCACCATAGGAATGCTCTGGCACTGATTACAGGAGGGACTGGGTTATTTAACAGGTCTTTTTCATCTCTGATTTTTTACTTGACTAAGCAGCTCCCTCAATCCAGGTTAGGACATTTATCCAGCTGGCACTGCTGGTTCTGCTCCTATATGTCATTGCCATCACGTTAAGCCAGTGAGGCCACTGTGTTAGTAGGAAATGACAGGTTTTCTGAGGGGAACAAACCCAGCAGAAATATTGTAAAGAAGGCTGGTTCTTCAAAACATTTATGAGGGGCTGGTGCAAGAGTTAGGAACTGACCTCTGCTTGGCCAGCAGGAATTCAGGAATTGGCCTCTGCGTGGCCAGCAGGCAAAGTCAAATCCACCTTAGCAATCATTATTTGCAGTTTTACAACTGACTAGAGGCTAATTAAATGAAGCACAATCTCTAGTTATTGTGTCAGAAAAAAAAAAACTGTTGCATTATCTTAGCTAGTAGGACACTTGAGCATTCAGTGAAGACGTTGAAAGTATTAGGCTCTCCTCAGACTAGGGAGGAGTAACGCTACAGAAAGGAACTGTGCCTCTTTTACTACTGTGTCTAGTACCTAGAATATAAGAATGCAATAAGTACATGATGAGTAAGTGTCAAATGAAACAGAATTCATCAATTCCTCCCAATAGCCTAAGGATCAGTTCTAGATTATGTCAGAGGACACTTGAGTATGATCTAGAATGTACAGTTGTTGGGAGACAATTTTACAAGGGTAACTAATGTTTCTGCACATCCTGTGAGTAGAGGCACTAACTCCCTGTATTCCAGAACATCTTGTAAAGAATGTTTGTATCTAAAATAACCCCTTAGAAGATAGAAATTTGTATTCTGTCCCATATAATAAAGGAAACATCTCCCTCTGGGGCAATGGGAATACATGATCACTTCCCATGATAAAAGATTTAAGTTCTCTAAGCTTGTCATTCCTCTTCTGTAAAACAACCCATGGCATGTGTACGTATCACCTGTACCTCTTTATGTTGTCTTGTGAGAATTTGGCCTCCTAGAACTAGTGCAAATGCTGACATTCAGGCTACTGCTATTGCTGTAATAAACTGTCCTTTCCTTTGTCTTTGACCCGGGTGTTTTGTGTCTCCTGCCAGCCTCTATGAACTACGTGTTAGCTTGCACATAGGGTAAAAGTCTCAGATCCTTCACAGTTCTTGAAAACAGTATTGGCCCATATTAAAATATTTTATTAAAGCATGCTTTAGTATAGTGCATTTGGTGTAATACTTACACTGAAGTCTATTATAAGAATCAGCCCTGAAACCCCCTATTGTACATAGTAAGAGTGTTGCTTGACATTGCTTACTAAATCATGTAGTACCTCTTAAAAAATAACCCTGGAGAAAACCTCTGACTGCTGTGTCAAGTATGAAAAGTTGTGACTATTTTTCCAGAGCAACTGTATTTATTTTTTGATATTGTAACCAAGTTTCTCTTTCTGTGTTGACTGGTAGAAAATTAGAGCCAAATACATCCCCCACCCATGTTAAGTGTATAGGTCTTTGTGATGTGCATTTTTTTGACATCATTCTTGGCTTTATTTTTTGTCCCCACCCTTATTTCTTGCTTATTTTACTTGGAGTCTTAATTTATGTGATTTTGTAAGTTGTTTTCATTTGTTTCTGGAGCAAGGTGAGGTAAAACAAACAAACCCCACACACAGAAGTTGTGTCAAAAACCATGTGTCAAAAGCCATAAAGTGGGAATCTGGGAACCTGTTCTCTTTCCTTTTCTATGCAACCGTAGATAGAATTTTGGTACAGTGATTGTATGGCATCATTTTTTAAGAATACTTTCTCCTTGGGGAAGTCAGTGAAATCCATGAAACTAGAAGACATCTAGAACACTGCTCAAATAAGTGTCATAGTTTTCAGTCATGCTATGTTTCTTTTTTTGAGACAGAGTCTCGCTCGGTTGTCCATGCTGGAGTGCATTGGCACCATCTCGGCTCACTGCAAGCTCCACCTCCCAGGTTCACGCCATTCTGCTGCCTCAGCCTCCTGAGTAGCTGGGACTATAGGTGCCCACCACCACACCCGGCCAATTCATGTTTGATTTTTTAAGGGCTCAACATTAATTTCATTATTTCAAATGAGACGTCTATTAAAACTCATACATCTCTCAAATCTTGGAAGTCAACTCTGGGTAGTCATTTAACATACTTGTCCATATTTTTAGTCTCTGTAAAGTATTATGCTAGGAGATTTTTAAAAGGCTTGTATGTATGCAATTAATATTTGAAGCTATGCTGTGGTTTTTCTAAGGGATGCTAATAAAAATAATTTTAATATGACTGATTTGAGATGGGAAACCTAGTGCTCCATGTTTTAATCGCAGATTTTGTTTCTTTAATCACTTTCCTGAACTAGACCCATGATCCAATTGGACAAGTGTCCTGCTCCAGTGGAGGTACATTTGGCCAGAGCAAATGTACACCACAATTCTTCTTATAGCACAGAGATGTACTGCTCCTTAAACACATAAGTGATATTTGCAGGTCATTCTTCAATTTGTCTAAGGCATCTTGACCTCTAAATTTTTGGCTTCATAACCTTGAAGTAATTAGCAACTTGTACTTATAAAACAGTGTGAAGGATCTATTCATCTGGAAACAACTTTCTTTAAGACCTAAGTTGTATATCTCTAAGCTGTCAAATTTGTCTTCCTTGTTTTGTCTACATTCTGCTTTCTTCATGGAGGTGTTGAGTACCTAGCTGAACTTGTGCAGGTGAAGGGAATATTTTTTTCCACTTAAGCTTCAAATAATGTAAGAATTGATGGAGTCAAGAGCTGAGTGAGAAACATGTTAGTAAACTAGAGAAGGAACTCTGAACAGGAGGATATGCCAGAGGAGGATCCTGAAAGTTAGAGTACTGCATCAGGGAGTCTGAGAGCCTGGGGCATCTAAGTACGTGGCAGCATGGTGAACAAGTAGGTGGATGGTGGTCCTGGGAACATACCTAGGGCCATCCATGCAAATTCAACTAATGTGCACATCTTTGAGATGTGGGAGGAAACCTGAGGACCTAGAGAAAACCCACGCAGACATGGAAAGAATGTCAAACTTTACATAGTAGTACCAGTTATGAAACAATTTTATTCCAGGAACTGCTGTACATAATTTGTTGAGTTTTAACCTTTGTCTCGACCCATGAGTTTACCCGGGACATCCTCACCATAATCATGACAATAAACATACCCCTCACCTCCAAGAGAATTCTTGTGCCCCTTTTCGATCTCACCCTCTTCCCTCTCGGTGCCTACCACATGATGCCTCACAACCACTGATCTGCTTTCTAGTACAATGCATTACATTGCATGTTCTAGAATTTTACATACATGTAATCATGCAATATGTACTCTATTACTGACCAGCTTCTTTCACTGAGCATAGTTGTAATTAGATTCATTTATGGACATTTGGGCTCTTGCCAGTTTGGGCTCTTACAAATAAGGCTG